AATGCCAGAATCCATATGGAAACCTGCTTGAGAGCCAGTTGCCTCATTTCTGATCCAGTTCCTGCTAATATGCCTCGAAAAGCAGCAGAAAATGGTCCACGTGCTAGGCACTTGCACCCATGTGAGAGACTCAAAAGAAGCTCCAGGCTCCTGGCTTCCGCCTGGCCCAGCCCTGGACGGTGTGCTCAGAGAGTGAACCTGAGGGCAGATGACATTAGGCCTGATGCTGAAGGAGTAGGACCACTTCTCTGGGTGCAGTAAAATAACAGACAAAAGAATGAGAGCAAGTGGCTGCACACAGCTGTGCGGACAAGCAAGCAGAGGGAGGAATGCAGGACCCTGGGCAGAGGGCAGGGCCAGGCTCCTGAGGGAGGGCATGTCTGGCCAGCAGACGCTGCTCACCAGGTAATGATCCTGCAGCTGGGGGCCCGGCAAGGAAAAGAGGGGGCCAGGTGAGAGCGCGAGCCACGTGTAGGAGCTCTCTCAGACTTGTCTGAGTACACCAGCTTTGGCAAACTGGACTTTGAACATGTTCCATATTTTACATAATTAAGAAGACCATTAACACTTCACCAAAACTGATTCCTGGGGCCCAGCAATGGAGCCTAGTGGGCAAAGCCCTCAGTGTATGTGCAAGGATCTGCAGGGGGACAAGCTGTTCCACTTCCCAACCAGCTCCCTGCTTGTGGCCTGGGAAAGCAGTCGAAGATGGCCAAAGCCAGGGACCCTGTACCGGAGTCCAGCTCCAGCCCAGCTGAGACCTCGGGAAGGGAGCGTGGAGTTGGCGATAAAGACACGGACACTGTCACTTCATGCTCTCTCGCAACAGCTCAAGAAGAAGCTCTCCTTTTTATTTACTCAGACACCTCACAAGCTTCTACACAAACAACTAATTGCTCCATTTTTACTTCAACACTAAGGGGGCATGTACACATATTTGCTCATTCCGTCTGCACTTCAGGGCTAAGCAGGTGCGCCTAGAGAGAATTCTGCAAAATACTGTATTCATATTCTTCAAAGCAAGCCATTATTCATTCTTCAACAGTAGCCATGGAGTGACAGCCAGGACTCCAAGACCAAAGCACATGCGATTACCTGCTAATCAATAGTACATTCCTAACACATTTCTATTTCTACAATTTACCCACTATTTAACGGGAAAATAGGTTACATGGGAAAAAAACGTAAAATCCAAGACAGAAGTTACAAATGTTAAATCCCCCTACAACTATAGGCTCTACAACCCCATAAACAATAAAATAATAATGAAAAGCATTTTCTCTAATAAAAGCATCCTTAATTCCTCTGGCTAAAAAGTATAAAAGCGGTTAAAACAGTTACATTTTCTATGCTCCAAAAAAATTGCAAAGACAGGCTAGTCTTTGAGATAACAATAACTATATTTATTGCCATACCAGTTTCAGCTCTCACTCCCATCACTTGCATTAACACTTAGGATATTTTTGGGCCCTTTCCCAGAAGGTGTGCTACATGTCTGGGCCAGATTCTGAGGCAATGCTTAGCACACAATAAGGTGTGCAGAAATGGCATGGGCTTAATTGTGCTCCTGTGTAAATTGTCAAAGGTCCACTAACCAAGACATCAGCAGTGACATTAATTCTCAAGCTCACGTCCAAGGCAAAAACCACCTCACAGGAGCAAACAACAATGCCTCAATGGATTACAGAATTCTTAGTGGGGTGCTTGAGTGTCCATGCAAATGGGGGTGAGACTGCATCAAGGTGGTCAGAGAGACATCCCCTGGGCACTGCTCACCTGGGCCCTGTCAAACAGGGGAGCTGTTCTCTTCACACTTTGGCGTCATCCACACCTACTGCACAGACCCCAGCAACCCTGCACCCACATGGGGGACCTGAGAGAGGCTCTGGGCTCCTGGCTCAGATCTTCCATCCAATGCTTCACTCCCCAAGTGGCCACAATGGCTGGAGCTGAGCCAATCCAAAGCTAGGAACCAGGAGTTTCTTCCAGGTTTCCCATGCAGATGCAGGGTCTCAAAGCTTTGGGCTTTCCTCGACTGCTTTCCCAGGCCACAAGCAGGGAGCTGGGTGGGAAGCAGGGCCACCAGGATTAGATCCCTATATGGGATCCCGGTGGTACATGCAACGCAAGGACTTTAACCACTACACTATTGCACCAGGCCACAGTTGGACTATTGCAAAACACACTCCTATCAGAACTTGCGTATGACTCATTCTCATCTCCTTGCGGTTTTTCTTTTTTATTTTTTTTTAAGATTTATTTTTATTATGTTTTTATCGGAAAGGCGGATATACAGAGAGGAGAGACAGAGAGGAAGATCTTCCATCCGATGATTCACTCCCCAAGTGGGCATAATGGCCGATACTATGCCAATCCAAAGCCAGGAGCATCTTCCGGGTCTCCCACGGGGTTGCAGGTTCCCAAAGCTTTGGGCCGTCCTCGACTGCTTTCCCAGGCCACAAGCAGGGAGCTGGAAGGGAAGTGGGGCTGCAGGGATAGAACCGGCGCCCATATGGGATCCCGGGCGTGCAAGGCGAGGACCTTAACCACTTGCGCCAGTGCGCAGGGCCCTCCTTGTGGTTTTTCAAGGGTATGTTACTAGAAGTGCATAAACAAACTTGACATAAGGAATCCTTGCCTCTCCTCTTGCCTTTTTAAACAAGCTGTGTGTGCATAGGCCTGAGTGTTTACTTTGCTGCCCTCAGCAGTTTTGCACACCCTGAAGCACCCAGGTCAGAACCCCTAGGCCATCCTGAGGATCAGCACTCTTCCTTTTAGTTTTCGCATTAACACTTCCTGAGATGACCACATCACAAAATCTGTTCTCTAGTTATAAAGCACAGACTACCCTCCTCCTTGCCCCTAACCCCCATCGTTACTGTAGCAGAGGTCAAAGTGTTGCCAGAACTAAGCTGGGCAGCAGGGCATGGTGAGGGGACCATTGTGGCCATCCAGGGCCAGGCTGGGTGCTGCCTCCTAGTGGGGAATACAGGAACGTGTAGGAATGAGGACAGTGATAGGGCTTGCAGGACTGGGGCAGAGTTATGACTCACCCCTTACACCAGAGGGCGCTGGGTGTGGCCAGGGGATGCTGCCTAGCTCCTGTCTTGTTGCCACACAGCTTCATGCACGTTAAGCCGTATCCCTGGCTACTTGTCCAAATCCAAGTCAGGGCGGGCCCTGCCACCCACACAACAGACCCTGGTAGAACTCTTGGCAACTGCCCCAGATGTGCTGCTACGGACCTCCTTGGCAGTGAACCAGGCAGGCAAAGATTCCAGAATCTACATCTCCCTCTCCTACCCCTCAGCTCTCCTTCTCTTCCAAATTAAAGCCACTCAATACTTTTGTTAAACCAAACCAGAGTGAGATATGTATTGTAGTAGGAGTGAAACCAGAGCAAGCAGTACTGACCAAGCACAGCCACGGCTAACACTAAGAACGTCAATATAAAATACTCCCCTGTGCCTGTCATTGTGCCAAGAGTCCCTGGAAGGATGAGATTCTGCCAACAGTGTCAGTGCTGAGTTTAAGGCCAAAGAGAGCAGAGGCCAGTGACCCATGAGTGTGCTGACAAGGTCCTCAGAGCCCGCCTAGCCCAATGTTTTGATTGCAAACTGTGCATCTATTAAGAGGAAGAATTTAGAATGTCCCAATTGTGTAATCCAGTCCATTCCCTTTTAAGGAAATAGATATTCAAGTACAAATGTGTTTATTTTTTTATTTTTTTTTAAAGATTTATTTTTATTATTTTTTTTATTGGAAAGGCAGATATACAGAGAGGAGAGACAGAGAGGAAGATCTTCCGTCCGATGATTCACTCCCCGAGTGAGCGCAATGGCCGATACTATGCCGATCCAAAGCCAGGAGCCTCTTCCGGGTCTCCCACGCGGGTGCAGGTTCCCAAAGCTTTGGGCCGTCCTCTGCTGCTTTCCCAGGCCACAGGCAGGGAGCTGGAAGGGAAGTGGGGCTGCAGGGATTAGAACCGGCGCCCATATGGGATCCCGGGCGTGCAAGGCGAGGACCTTTAACCACTTGTGCCACTGCGCCGGGCCCTACAAATGTGTTTATTGCCATTATCAATCTAGACTGCATCTATATCCTGACCAATTAGGTTATGAAAAACAATCATTTCAAAATGTACATAGGCCTGAAAAACTACAATGCTCAGGGGGTTGTGTTGTGGCTTAGCAAGTTGTGGCCCTTCAGATTACACTGCTGCCTGCAACACTGGCATGTGCCGTGGGCCTCAGTGCGAGCCCCAGCTCCTCAGTTTCCAATGCAGCTCCTTGACAGTGTGCTTGGGAAATCAATGGGAGACAGTCCAAGTCCCTGAGCCCCTGCCACCCTGGGGGGAGACCTGGCTAGGGGCCCATGCTCATGGCTTCTGCCCAACCCAGCCCTGATCATGCCCTCGTGGACGTGTGGGTAGTGGGCCAGAAGATGGAGGACATCTGTCTTTCAAACCAAAAAACATATCTTTAAAATAAACATACACTGTTCAGTGGAAAAGTTATGCCACAAAATATACACACCATGCAATCTTATTATGATTTTTTAATTAATTTATTTATTTGGAGGAACAACACAGAGAGAGGGGACAGAGAGAGAGAGCTTGTGTCAGGAATTCTTTGCAGTTCAGTTGCCTAGGTATTAAATAGCAGGCCGGGGCAAATGGCAGTGGGTGTGAGGCCTCTTAGCCTTCTCAAGGTTAAACATTCTTTCTTCACAAGGTTGCCCTTGACAATCTTACCATATGCATGAGAACCCCTAAGCTCTGAGTGGGACAGCCTGAGAATGGTGCTGATAAACAGGAGAACGTGTGTTGCGGCCAGAATGTCAAGGAGCCTTTTAATGTCAACTGTGTGGCTAATCAGGAGATAGGCGGAAGTTGACCACCTGAACAGTTAGGATAAATTATGTTATTATGTTTCTGTGATCTTTACATGCTCTTTCTTCTATAAAATCCTCAATCTTTTAATGATGTATTGGAAGAACAGAGCTAGTGGTGCAAGCCTTCTGCAGGTTTGGGGTTTACCCAGATGCCAACTGCGCCCAAATAGCAGGGCCATGAGTGCCAGCGAGGAGGACTATGAAAACACTCAGAATCAGGTGAAACGCTTGAAGGAGCTTCCAGGAAATGATCTGAAGCTCAGAGTTTGCACTCTGCAAACATGGTACTGAAGGACCTAGCAATGTACCCAGCCCAGGTGCGTTTCACTCCATCAATAAAGCCAGGTGGGATGTGTGGCATGCCCTGGGCAGCCTGCCGGAGGAAACTGCCAGGAAGAACTATGTGAGTTGGGTGTCCAGTGCGAGGTCCTCACTGGAATCCCGGAGCCTAGCAGAGCCAGAAGGCACTAACAGATCTCCTGGATGTGAAGCTCTGGTGTGACCTCCGGGGCTGGACTCAGGAAGATCACGTGTAACTGGCCTGCTAAGAAAAAATGCTATGGGACAATCAAGATGGCGGAATAGGGTAAGGACACGTTTAAACAGACGGAGAAGCATTTAACCAGAATGAAGCAGAGAGGACATATTTTAGGAAATACAAAAGGACAGAACAACAGCAGAGGGGTACCTGGAGACTGACAGATACAGGAAAGCAGTGGGCACAGCAGTGTGGTGTTGCAGTGAATGATATTCCAGCACAGCGATCTAAACTCCACCAGCAGCCGGAACTCCACCAGCAACCAGGTGGGAAGGGACTTTGACTGGGAGCTTGGGAGGTGAACCCAGACGGGGAACTGTCTGTCCTGCTGGTCCGTTTGATTTGACCAGGAGCAGAGACAGAGCAGCAGATCCCAGGTGGGCAGTGCGAGAACAGCGAGGATTTCATAGCCCAGTCAGCCCCCTAGAGCTGAATTGTTCACCATTTTGCCTAAGGAGGAAAGGGCAAGGGAAAGGACTGAGCATGCTCTGAGCGGGGAGTGAGTTCATTTCTGACTCGGTGGACTGCAACGATGTGGCATTCTACGGGTTCCATCCAGGGCAGGTCTGGGTAGCCCTCGGATCTGACAGCCAGCAGATCAAGAACTGCTGTGGTAGCACGTCGGGCGCCATTTTGCACACTGTGGTAAAAGCTTTGGGACTGCAGGGGGCAACAGTGAACTGCGCATGTGCTGAGCTCGGGAAAACTCGCTGAGATCCCGCAGGAAAATAATACCGACTGCGGCATCGTACTGGTCAAAACTGGTCCGTGTGGCACCCAGACCTAACATCCAACAGGTTCCGATTAGATTAGCGCCACCAACAACCTAACTAGATAGGACACCTGGTGTCTCTTTAATCCTGGGACCCACTCCAACCGGAAGAGGGAGAAAGGTTGCAGAGACAACAGTGCAGCCTCCGCACGGTATCACAGGAGGTGGAGAGTGGTGAGCCAAGAGCTGGGCTATGGAGACCACGGTGGATATCTGACATAAGAACCCAGACCTGGAACTCGCTGGAGGTTGTGGCACAAGCGGCTGCAAGCAAAAAGTTGTGTACCAACTGCAATAAGTAAAATCACATTGTAGACCTGTGGGTGACACAGCTTGGAAACCTGTCCCAAGGAGAAGACTCTGCTAACCAGAAGTACAATGATCAAGAGCAAAAGAAGAGACAAAGGCACAATGAATATTACTGAGCACTCCCCTGCAAAGGAGCAAAACCCTATGCCAACCTCAGAGTTAACTGAGGAAGACATCGAGAAAATGGGGCACACAGAATCCATAAGACTCATTTTGAAGATTTTGGTCAAAAACGAGAAGTTAATGCAAGACTTCAAAGAATTTAAGGAAGCAGTAAAGGAAATCAAGGCTGGAATATCAGAAATTAAGAACACAGTAGAGCAAATTACAAGTACAGTGGAGAGTCTCCAAAATAGAATGAAGCAAGCAGAAGAAAAAATCTCAGAATTGGCAGATATCTCCTGTCACCAGGGGGAAGCAAACAAAAAGCTGGAAGCAGAGCTGGATCAGGCCAAAAAAAGTATTCAAGAATTGAAAGACATTATTAAGAGGCCAAATATAAGAGTTCTGGGAGTCCCGGAAGGTGCAGAAAGAGAAGCTGAGTTTGCAAATGTATTTAATGAAATAATCAAGGAAAATTTCCCTAATCTGGAGAAAGAATTGGGAAACAAGATCCAGGAGGGACACAGAACTCCCAACAGGCTTGATCAAAAGCAATCTTCACCAAGACATATGATTATCAAGCTCTCTTCAATTGAACATAAGGAAAAGATCCTTAAATGTGCACGTGAAAAACATCAATTGACATATAAAGGAAGGCCAATTAAGCTCACAGGAGATCTCTCACAGGAAACCCTACAGGCAAGAAGAGAATGGAGTGACATATATTCCAGATTCTAAAAGAAAAAATTATCGGCCTAGGATAACATACCCTGCAAAGCTTTCTTTCATCTTTGAAAATGAAATAAAATTCTTCCATAGTAAAGAAAAGCTAAAAGAATTTGCCTCTTCCAAACCTGCTCTACAAATGATACTTCAAGATGTTCTCTTGACAGAGAAGAGGAATAGCACCTACCAAAACCAAAGGCAAACGGGAAGAACATCCCAGTAAAATGACAACAGAAGACTAAATCAATGAACAACCCAACCCTAAAATGACAGGACCAAAGTACCACCTATGTATATTTAACTCTAAATGTAAATTGCTTAAGCTCAATCAAACATCATAGGTTAGTAGACTGGATTAAAAAACAAAACCCATCTGTTTATTGTCGGGAGGAGACACACTCCAACAAAGATCAGCGGAAACTATATCACATGGGTTTTGTTGTTTTCTGTTGGTTTCATCTCTTCAAAACACTTTCTTCTGATTAAATCATTCAATGACTCGTAGATCATACAGTGGCATCATTTTCTTCAAGAAGGTTCTTGATTTTCACTTCTTCAGCTACACGTTATACATTTAATAGCATGTTGTTTAACTTCTTGGTGTTGGTAATTTCTTTTTTCTCCCGGAAGTTGATTTTGTTTTGTGGCTCTTCATTTAAGGGAAGGTATAGTAGCTGTGTAATGGAGACTGTCATATCTAGTAACATGTCATTTAACTTCATGGCATTGTAAATTTCTATTTTTCTTTCTATTGTTGATTTTGTATCTCATGACTTCTCATTTAAGGGAATGTACAGTAGTTTTGTTATGTAATGGAGACTATCAACCAGATGTGAGGATGCAGTGTGGTCGGCATCTCTGTTTCCAGACAAAGATGGACTTACAGTGAAACTGTTTATATTATATTTTGACAATAGGATTCTGGACTCTCTGCCATTGTCCATGCCCGCAATGATGAACATATGATTGAGTATGAAGAACTATATGTTAATAATGATATAAAGGAACTGGGGGGGAGGGAATTGAGGAGGGGATAGGGGAATATGGAACTGTATCGTAAAATGATAGCAATAATAATAAAATGTGAAAAATAAATAAAAAAAAAAAGAAAAAATGCTATGAAGCAAAACTGTGACAGCCACTGCAGCGAAGTGAAGCACGGCAAAGGAGGAGGTGTTCTGTTGCTGCTCCTGTCTCAGGCTGAAGCTGAACTTCCTTTCCTCTCAGGGCCAAACACATCCCTTGGGGTGATTATATATTTCATTAAAGCCTTGATGAATTAAACTTAAAAAAAAAAAGAAGAAATTTAGGAAAGCCAATGTCAGGGAGCACCCTGCTCATTCATCCCTTGAGAGTGTGTGGAATTGCCTGCTCCTCACGATTTCTCTCACATCTTGTAGGTCCATCAGCTCTTGTCCTTCAGCCTGGTCTCTTGCAGGAATGTTGCCTGCTGGCACGCAACAAGCTTCCATCCACTGTTTCACTTGGGAAAGGCCATAACATCCTGGCATGAGCCAGGCCGAAGCCAGGAGCCTAGAACTTCATTTGGGTCTCCCACACAGGTGGCTGTGGTCCACCCACTTAAGACATCATCCTCTACCTTCCCGAGTGAATCTGCAGGGAGTGGGGTCAGACACCACAGACCTTGGACTTGAACCAGAACTCCAGCACAGGAGGCTATTGTCACAAGCAGCAGTTCAACTTCCTGTACCACAACGCCAGTTCCTGTAATCATAGTTTTAAATAAATGTATCCATACTTGTGTACAAACCCTGGAAACAAGTACAACTCAAGTATCTGCGTGAACTTATACTACATTTACATAGTTCTTTGAAATCTGTAGGTCAGAATAAACCACAGAAAAAGAACAAACATTGGAAAAGAGAAAATGGTAGCAGTAGTAAAGGTCAGAATTGTCACTATTCTCAGCTCATTTTTTCTTTTTTTTTTTTTATTTTTTCTATTTGTTTTTTATTGGAAAGGCAGATAAACAGAGAGGAAGATCTTTTGCCCAGTGTTTAACTCCCCAAGCAGCCACAACAACTGGAGATGAGACAATCCAAAGCCAGGAGACAGGAGCTCTTCCAGTTTTCCCACATGTATGCAGGGTCCCAAGGTTTTGGGCCGTCCTCAACTGCTTTCCCAGGCCACAAGCAGGGTGCTGGATGGGAAGCAGGGCCGCTGGGATTAAAACCGGCACCCATATGGGATCCCGGTGTGTGCAAGGCAAGGACTTTAACCACAACGCTTTTGCGCCAGGCCCAAGTCACATTTTCTGGATCAGGGTAAGCACCTGAATCCCAGTGCTCTGCGCATGTCGCAGCTAAGGGTCCCGAGCTCACTGCTGGAGGTGTGCATTACTGACAGTGCTTCATGGGCACTGTGTGATGGACAAGGATGGAAGGGAGTAACAATGAAATCAGGTTGTTCTCTCTCTCTGCACTCATTCTGGGGAATAAGGAATTCAGCTGGGAACTGATACACAGGAAGCAACAGGCACCCCACTCAGACAACAATCACCCTGGCAAAGTCTGTGAGATGTTAACTATCTTGGAACTTTGGGATTGGGATCTAAGCCTAGGTTTGCAGTCCTCTGAACTGTGGTGAATTTATGCTCTTAGCACAGAGAAGGCCTCGTTCCCAGGGCCAGGGCATGGCTGCTGTCACTGCAGCAGCTCGTACACGGCTTGGCTGGGCAAGTGGGCACTGAGAACTCTGTCCTCCACATCTGGGGGATCTGTTTACCACTGCTTCCGACTCTGCAGGTGCGACTGCAGATGTGGGCAGATGCTGCTGCACTGCTCATCCCCACTGTGCCAGCCCCTCCTCTCCAGTTGATGCTACTTGGAAGGGAGTTAAAGGCCCAAGCATTTCATCCTCCTAACTACTCACCCGCATTTTTCTCTCTCCTTTTTGTTGGAGAACTAGATACTAAAAAGCTATGCTATTCAAAAGCAACCACATATATGAGGACACTTATTTCTTTTCCGTTTTTTCGTTTAAACTTTTAAAAATGTTTGTTTAAAAGATGTATTTATTTGAAAGGCACAATGACAGAGACAGAGAGAGATACAGAAAAAGATCTTCATCTACTGACTCAAACCCCAAATGCCTACAACAGCCAAGGCTGGGCCAGCTCTAAGCCAGGAGCCAAGAATTCCATCCCAGCCTCATTGTGAATTGCCTTCCCAGGCACATTAGCAGGTAGATGGGTGGGAAACAAGGCACCTGGGACTTAAATTAGAACTCATGTGGGATGTGAGCATCACCGGTAGAGGCTTAACCTACTGAACCACAACACCTATGCCAATTTGACATTTTTGATTAGTATGCAATACCCGTTAGGCTTGATGAAACACGTTGCAACACTTGAAGATATATTCATAGCGCAAAGCAGTGAAGCCTGGCAAGCAGGCTTCTCTTCTCCATATTCTTGCCCCAGGTTTTGCACCTACCATGCCTTCTCCTCTAGTGTCTATATACAAGAAATTAGTGTGGGTTGTGTCACATCCTTACACTTGGATGATTGCAACCTGCTAGCTTTCAATGCCTGTTTTAGGGCCAATGTTTTGGGTTAAAGTATTGTTAACTTACACAAATGACAGAGAACATACAATATTTGTCTTCCTGTGCCTGCCTTGTTTCACTTCACACAGTGATCTCCAATTCCACTCATTCTGCTGCAAATGCCAGAGTTTCATGTGTGAAATGTCAGGGTTAGGCTGCAGTACTTACTGGTGAGTGCCTGGACTTGGGGTGGGCAAGATCAGGGCACACGCCAGAACCACAGAAGGAGGCATGGTAGGGAAATCTGTGGAACTCAGTTTGGAGCAGGTGTTGTGGTTCACCAGGGTAAGCCTCTGCCGGAGATGACAACATGTGGGCTAGGTCTCGGAGTGGGCCAGGCTGGGCCCCACTGCCACACCTCTAGCACCCGAGACCACCAAAATGAGTGCAAGACAGCGGGGTGAGGCTACAGCATCAGCGAGCAAGTGCCAAGACTAGGTGCAAGTCAAGTCAGGCTGGAATGCAGTAAGCCCTGCAATCACAACATCCAGGGCTGGGAATGGACCTGGTAAAAGAACTGTGGGCATGCCCTGCTGGCTGGAGCT